TCGAAATTCTGATGAACTAAGACGCAAACTCTTAGCGGAAGGTACCCAATCAGCAAAAGTTGGGATTCATAAAGATGCAGTTTACAAAAGTCGGTTATTGAAATACGATGGTCTTCCAGAACCAGTTAATCGTCTTCCAGGTATTTTATTTTTGTAATCGGATATATTAGAATCTAATGAAACAAACTAAATCGTAATCTTTTTTTTAAAAAAATAAATAAAAATAGATTCCCATTTAATTGAATTTACAATTATTTGAAGATATATTTCATATAATCAAATTAATTTTTCTTTTTAAAATTCTTACGTTCTTAATAATAAAATTGTGTTTATGTTAATTTATAATATTAAATTTCCTGAACAACGCGTTTAAATAATTGTGGTTTAGTTCGTCTTAGCTGCAGTTATTGGAACTTCCCAATTGATGTTTGATTAAACTTTAATTCGTTTACTATATAATTTACCTTTGCCATTTCTTCAAGATTTTCAAGATTCGAATTTCTATGTTCACCATTACGTAAAATGTAAATCATTCATAAGGATTCAAATTCACTGAGAAGCGATTCCTTGACTGAATTGGTGTGGAAATATTTTTGAAGTCCGGAAAGTGTAGATTCATTGGCCATGAACCGTTTATTTTTTTATGACTTCAAAAGAACGATGGAAAGCCCCGAGAAAGTTTTTCATTTTCATTTTTTCTCCTTTTAAATTTCGAATTTCTGCTCTACACGGTCCACAAAAGAATTGCAAATGTTTTTGTTATATTTAGCATGTTTAATAAATAGTGTTTATTTCTGAAATAATAATGGTTACGATTAATAAAGAGAGTTCTTCTGTCCTTTGTTTTTTTTTAACCATAGGGGCATGTTAAGATGCTTTATTGATATATTAAATTTACATGAAATACATTTATTGAACTTTCCTAACTACTTACACTAGATGTTACCAACTAGCTGCGGGTCTGCCCTTCGACGCCAAATAACTGGTATGCCCTTCAGTTAAGTCTAAAGGTATAGAGAGTTCTTCTACCCTTAATACTGGCAACGATGACAAAAATAATTTTTGTGATGATAAAAGAGTTGATCTTTTTTACGATCCCGATATTTTAGATTTATGAATTTATACAATTTTTTGATTTTTTTATCATTTTTGTCTTAGTAAAATTAGCTCATTATAAAAATTAATAAAAATAATTTGAAATTACATGTTTATTTTTAAAATTTCCTTTCTTTGGAGTTTTATTATATGCTAAAGAAGTATACTAGGAAACGGGAACCGTTGTAAGTCCGGAGCATAACCTAAAATTATCCAATAAAAGTAAATGTTTTCTAAAGCAATTGAACTAGCCATTTTGGAATAAGTTTCGTAACGTTGTGAAGTCAGAAAATAATTACATAAAATAAGACCGAAGACAATATCGGATTTAAGATATATAGTAGTATCGTAACTAATATGAGTCCAAAAAAAGCTTTAAAGCAGCAGCCAATGAAGTCATAAACATTTTTAATTTCGATTTCCCAGTAATACTTAGGAAAGTATACCGTAATTTATAGAGCTATCAGGATGTATATTGCTTAAATATTAATTGTTCAGTGCGTGGGGATAGATTATTATCATATTACCCCCCGGGAACAGTCTCTTATCCTGTCTCTTGTGACCAACTACCAAATATTTACGCAATCCGTTTTGTTTATAACTGTTTCTTCTGGTTTTTAGTCTAAGAATTATTCTTTGGGAGATTTCTAGTGGTAATTCTCCTTTTTAAATGTTAAATGTGGATTTTTAAACAATATTTCAAAAGGCAAAAGAGAATTGAATATACTGTACTTGGAACATCTTATAAATACAAAGAAATATACACTGGTATAAATTTATATTGTTTACAAATAAAATAAATTATTAATTTTTGGCAAATTTCTGGAAGCACAATGAGAACTCACGACCAAGTTCGTGTTTTTAATTTAATGAATCAAATTTGACTTTCATAAGTGGTTAATTATGTTATTTTCGTGTTAATAGATATGATAATCACGACGTGTCCGATTCAAAAAAGCTATTGAGTTAGAATTGCGGAATTGAAACACGATATGGGAGAAAGTGCTAAACGCGAAAAAGACATACGCAAAATTGCAATACAAACAAAATCTATTAAATAATAAAAAGCAAATACAAAGAAAAAAGTCCATAAATAATAATAAATAACAACCCATAGAAGGTCTATAAAATAATAAATTACATTTATTTAATTAATAGGATGTTAGAGGAATCCTTGACACTTCTCTTGACGAAGAATTCGCGTTTAAACTATACATAGTATCAATTTTTTGCACATAATTTCATAACTTTATCACAATTCTAAATTTAAGTATAAAATAGTAAATATGATTAAATATAAATGATTAATATATAATTATTAACTAAAGATGATTAAATATAGATTATTAAATATAAATGAATGAATATAGATGAATGCATATTAAATATATAATAAATAGAAATATATAATAAATTAGAAGTAGATTAATTAATTAGTAATATATATATAAATAAAATAAAATAAATCCAAACGAAGAACTTCATAATATATGTTTATTAAGCATAATATTCGGGAAGTGTTTCATCATAATATTCACGATCAAATCTAGAATTATAAGATAATTCTTTTGCATTCCTCTGAATTTTAGGACTTGGTTTTATATTATTTTCATTCATGTAATGAATAAATTGATCGGGAATCTCTTCTAAAACAGCTTTTGGTAAATAGTATCGTGCAGTTTCAGTTTGGAAATCTCTCATTGCAACGAATTGCACTATGTCTCTTCCTACTATCGTTTTACCGTCGGAAGATTTTTGCTATGATATGATATTAATGAGATTATGAAATGATAATAATAATATCATAATATCATAAATATTTACACTTACTTTTAATGGGTTATCATCTGCATCAAGAATATTCATATTAGCGAAATCAGCATTTCCAACTCCAACAATGATTATAGATAAAGGAAGAGGTGTAGCGTTTATTATTGCTTTCACAGTAGAATCCATATCTATACAGAAATAAATATGGTATTAAAAGATGATAGTGATAACAACAATAGTAATAATTTAAAAAATACCTGTTATCACACCATCTATGAAATAAATAATAAAGTAAAATGCAAGTAATCATTAAACATTCGTATTTTCATAATTCAATAATTCCATTTCCTTATTACCTGTGATGATCAGCAATATGTAAAAAGATTTAAAGTTACCAGATCTCAATTCTTGTTTAATTTTACCTGCTGTTTGGTTTATAATCTATCATAAAAGTAATAGAAAAATAATAATAATTTATAATAATTCGTAATAATTTGTAATAAAACATTTAAATATAAACATTTACTGGTGAGAAATTTGTGGGTCCATATAATTCCAATGTAACAAAAGTTCTAGAATAAGCTTCTAATATTCCCTCAACTCCTTGAACTTCGGGCTATATTAAATATTTCAAAAATTTAATATATATGTACATTTAGTTAAAGACTTTTTTAGTGAATCCTATACAGCAGTTTTTACTGCTGAAGAGATTGAAAAAGTTTTAATAGACATTGGATCTAATAAATTTGAAACTGTAATATCTAATACAGCTTCAGCAATGACACTTGTAAAACAATTTATTTTTAAAAAATATTTATTAATTTTATCAGTAAGATACATCACTTATCATCTTCAACTTATATGTAATAATATCATTAATAAAAATTCTTTTGGAAAAAAGGTATTAAAACAATGTCAATCATTTGTAACATACTTTCAAATCTCACATCGAGCAGGTGCAATTTTATGTAAGGAGATATTAAATTTAATAATTAACAAAGGTGATGAATTTAAAGGTTCAGTTTGTACAAGATGGTCCTCAGCTTATAATTGTATAAAATTTGTTCTTGAGTTAGAAAATTGTATCAAAAAGGTAAATCTTTTAATTGAATTTGTTTTTTAATATTTTTTTTAATATTTTTATTTAAAATATTATTTTTTTAGATATTAGAAGATGATCTTCTGCAATAACATTAGGATTACAAAACCTTACTTATAATAAACAATTTTGAATTAATGTAGAATCTCTTGTAAAAATTTTATCACCAACTAAAAATGCAGTTAAAATAGCTGAAGCAACAATAATTACAACTGCTGATGTATTTTTAATCCTTATTCAAATGGTAATAGTTATAAATTTATTTGATAAGAATGATATATCAGAATGTAAAGAATTTTGTAAACAATGTATTCAATTTACAACAAGCACTGGAAAGAATTTGATATTAAAATTTACTTATTAGTATATTTTTTATATCCAAAATATTGTAGTAAAGGAATGAAAGATTCTATTTTTTATCAAATTTTATATTCAACACTTGAAATTTGAAAAAAAATTGGTGGTGGTAGATATACAAGTGCAAATATACCTGTAGCTATACGTGTTGCCCAAATCCCAAATCATTTGGGATTTGGGATGCCAAAATCCCAAATTACTAGTATTTGGAATTTGGAATTTGGGATTTCAGCAAAAAATACTAATCATAATTTTGAGATTTGGGATTTGGGATTTTGGCATTTGAGATTTTGGCATTTGGATTTTGAATTTGGGTGGCAGGTATACCTGTAGCATAAATTAAAAAGTATGATATATATTAAACATCATATAATTTTGATTTTATAGATAAAATTGAATCTCCTCAAATCTGGTGATATAGTTGTAAACTATTAAATCATCATTTACAAAAACTTGCTTTACATTTATTAGTAATTACTTCAAATAGTGCAAATTGTAAATGTTTATTTTTTGTTTTAGGTTGGATTACACAAAAAAGATGTAACAGGTAACTAATTTATTAAATAATTCTATTTTATAATTAATATTTAATATAATTAACATTATATATATTAATAGATTAACTGTAGAAAAAATATTCAATATTGCAAAATTATATACATATTATATTACAAATATAAAACAAGAATTGAATTATATTGATGGTAGGTTGCAGGCGTGTTTCATGTTAATCTTAGGATAGACAATTCGAATTAGTCTGAGTCTCATCTTTTCGATAGTTACTAGAATAAGTTGTGTATCTTATATTATGTAATAATAATGTAGAAGACTTTTTCTTTTTTTAGTTAATAAATTTGAGACAAAACCTTGCTGAAACTTTTTTTTTTTTAAAAAAAAAAAAAAAAGAATTGAATTATATTAATCAAAATATCTCAAATTCAAAATTAGAAAAAATAATAAAAAATTATATCAACACAATTAAAAATGATAAAGAAATATTTAATTTTGATGAAAATAATAGTGATAATAAATCTGATAATTATAATTTTACAAATGATAATAGAGAAAATTTACAAGTTGAAGAAATATTAGATTTTACTAAATTTTCAGATGAAAATAATAATAATAATAATAATAATATGGTATATGTAGTAATTGAAGATAATAAAGATTACAATATTAATAAAATAATTAATGTATCTGTAAATATTAATAATTAATAATTTTTAATATGATAATTTTTTTTTTATTTTAATTTTAAATAATATAATAAACTTTAATAAATTATATAATGTAATTCATGTTTTATTATAAAATAAATTTTGGCAAATATAACTTAATATAATTGTAGTATTAATATATTGATAATATTTATAATAATTAATATTAATTACAATATCTATAATTAATTTTGTCATATAAAAATAATTTCGACAGTTTAAAATAATTATGGTAGTCTAAAATAATTTTGGCAGCCTAAAATAATTTCGGTATCCTAAAATAATTATAACAACCTAAAATAATTAGCAACTTAAAATAATTTCGACATTCTAAAATTAGGGCTTAGAACCGGGTTTATATAATCCGGTTTCACCCAGATACTATAGGTAATCCAGTTGAAACTTTCGAAACTGGATTATCCGCATGATATTTTATATTTATTATAATTTGATCCTGTTTATCAATCTGGTGTATAAATTCGGATCAAATTAAATACGTGCAATGCTCTAATTGGTTGATTTATTTATCGGAGCTATTTAAAAATTTTTTTTTAAAAAAAATTTTAATGTAAATATTTTTATTTGTAACTATGAATATTAACGTTAATTATTTTTTTTTTGTAGCTACGGTTTTTAAAATAGATTTATTTTTTTTTAAATTAATAAAAAATAAATTTATTTTTTTTTTAAATTAATAAAAAATATTTTTTATTACAGCTACAACTTCTTGAAATCACAGCGGATAGGTAAAGATAAGTTCAATTTTTTATTCTTATATTTTTTATTTTATAAATAAATAAATATTTACTTTCTCTTTTTTAGGTTTGTGGCGGACATGTATAAAAATCTTAGAATCGAGTTCATGGGATTCATAGAGTTTATAGTTATTCAGAATTATGACGGCTGTGTAAAGGTATGTTTTATTTTTTATTTTTATAAATAAATACTTACCTTCTATTCTTTCCCAGGTTCGTGATGACATGTTTCCTTGAAATCGAGTTTATAGGTTTGTGGAATTTTATACCTTTTCAGAATCACAATGAATACACAAAGGTATATTTTATTTTTTATTTTTTATTTTTTATTCTTTATAAATAAATACTTACCTCTTCTTTCCTAGGTTCGTAGCAGTATGCCTTCTCAGAATCAAATTCGTGAAGTTTTATAACTGCAATACCTTCTTGAAATCATGACAGATGCGTGAAGGTATGTTTTATTTTTAATTTTTAATTTTTTTTTTATTCTTTATAAATAAATACTTACTTTCTCTTCTTTCCCAGGTTTGTGGCAATATATCTTTTTGGATTTTTTATGGTATACTTACTTTCTCTTCTCTCCTCTCCTCTCCTAGGCTCGTAACGGATGTACGAAAGGCCTTCTCTCCTTAAAATTGGGCTTGTAGGTTCATGAGTTCGTGAGGGGTTCTATTAGACGATTTATAAGATAGGTTCTTTTTGTTTTTTATTTTTTATAGTATACTTACTTTTTCTTCTTTCCTCTTCTCTCCTAGGTTCATGACGGACATGCGAAAGGTTTTAATAATAATAATACTTACCTTCTCTCCTCAAAATTGGATTTGTAGGTTTGTGAGTTCATGAATATTTTAACAGATAATTTATAAGGTAGGTTCTTTTTGTTTTTTGTTTTTTTATAATATACTTACCTTTTCTCTTCTCCTAGGTTCATAGCAGATGTATGTAAAGATAAAATAATTCTTTAATAATAATATTCTTACTTTCTTTCCTTAGAATTGGATTTGTAAGTTGTGAGTTTGTGAGGTTCTGACAAATAATTTATAAAGTAAATTCACTTTTTTATTTTTATTTTTTATAGTATACTTATCTTCTTTTCTTAGAATAAAAAAAATAAAATGTTTTATACTTTATCCATTAATTCGTATAATTTTGTACTTCCTACTAATTTGTACTTCTACCTATTAATTTATAATTTATGCATATTAATTGATAATCAATTTTTTTTTTTTAATTATTTCTTCTGAAATAAGTGATATTGGTGAAGTAGAGGTAATAATTAGTGACCATGAATATACGTGTTGCCCAAATTCCAAATCATTTGGGATTTGGGATGTCAAAATTCCAAATTACTAGTATTTGGGATTTGGGATTTGGGATTTCGGCAAAAAATACTAATCATAATTTGGGATTTGGGATTTGGGATTTTGGCATTTGGAATTTTGGCATTTGGATTTTGAATTTGGGTGACAGGTATAACCATAAATATGATCACTTTGAACCTGATACTGTCAATGATGATATTGATCCTTTACCAATGTCTATTAGTAGAGAAAATTCCAATTTATCTATAAATACTACAAATAATAATAGCATAAATAATAATAGTACAAATACAAATAATAATAAAAATAATAAAAAAAATAATAATAAAAGAAAATTAAAACAACCTTATGCAAAAAACAGTTGGGTATGATATTATTTCAAAACTTCAGAAGATGGTATGTTTAATATATGTAATGTTACAATAGAAAAGATAACTGATAATAATATAATTTATGGAAGTCACTTTGTAAATAATGGTTCAACTGGCAATATGAAAAATCATCTTCGTTGTAAACATAATTTATCAGAAGAAAAAAGACAAAAGGTAATGTAAAAATATTATATTATTATTATTATTATTAAATTAAATAGTAAATTAATTTATATATTGTAATTTAGGTTCAAGATAAGTTTACTCAACAAACTTTACATCAAGCAATAAAAGTAAATATTAAACCTCATAAAGAATCAAAAAACAATAAAATTCGACAAGTTATTGTTAAATGGATAGTTGTAGATAATTTATCACTTAATATTCTTCAAGAGTAGGAATACAAAAAAATGATATCAATTGTGAATCCAGCTTTTCAAATTCCATCAAATAAAAGAATGAAAAAATAATTATCGAAGAATACCAGAATGCAGTATATGAATTAAAAAAATTAATTATCAATACTTATGAGACAGCTTCTTTAACAACTGATTTAAGGACAACAAGGAGTAAACATGGATATATTGGTATTACTCTTCATTGGTTATCAAGTGATTTTAAAGTATATGATTGTCTTTTGTATATGAAATGAATGCCATACCCTCATTCTGGAGAAAATATTTCAATATTTTTACAAGAAAAAATAAAAGAATATA